GAATGGCAGCAGCCCCTGGCTGAAGAGCCTCCAGCACTGCCCCTTCCTGTGCTCCGAGAGGGGGCGGGGGGAAGGGCCGAGTTCATGTTTCTCATGGCTGTCAGTGGGGGAAGGCTCTAACGAGTGCGACACACACCAGCAGCTCCTCTATAGCTCCGGTCTCCAGCGGATGCCATCTGACAGTGTGCTGCTTGCCCTGGCATGTGCACTGCAAAGCTACCTCTCCAGGAGTTGGTGACCATTTCTGATCCTCCGCTTCTACTGCTAACCACTAATAGCTCCATGTAAGGTCCCCACTTCTCCAAGCTCTTGTGCTGCTCCCACTGCCTGTCTGCTCTCCATCGCGTGTGTCCTTATGCTTCTGGCCCATTTATATGAGCGCGTAACCCGCCCCACCTTCTAATTCCAACAACATCATCCCTTGCCTGCTAAATCGACAGCAAAGTCTCCACGGACTTCTAACAGTAGCAGCATCAAAGGTGCCAGACTCTTCTCAACAATGCCTCTTACCTTCCACTGTGTCCTCCTCCAGATGCCCCTCTGAATTCTCCTCACTGCTCTCTGCTACCAGGCCATGGATGTTATCCAGCGTGATATCGTCTTGGTAGCCCTCTCCCACCACTTGAATGCTGGTTTCCTCATACTGGTTGTCCACCACTGACAGGTGGATTTTCCCTTCCACCCGCTGGGCTAGGCTGGGTTTGAAAAGCACATCAAACTCCGCAGACTCATCGCTCCGCAGGATTAGGGAAGCGGTGTGGGGTTTCCTTCCTGCAAAGGAACGGAACACTTGGGCTGGAAATCAGACCTCAGAGTTGCAGGCATACAGGAGACATTCCTACGTGGCTGAAACAGGAAAACCTGCTCAAGAATGACTGTCTCGGACTTAACAAACATTTGAACTATCTCACCCATTACCAAGACAGTTTCCCCAATTGTCACCTCTAATACCATTAACTCACAAACATCCCACTCTCCCCACCTCTAATATCATCAATTCACAGACACTTACCTTCCTTCCCCCTCCCCCCCACCGCATCCCCCTCCTGTTCTGCAATGTGATTTGTCTTTTTCATATGTGTTCATTTTTTTTTAACTGTATCCTTTGGTATATATGGTTGTGACTATTTTCTTCCACTATTTGATCTGAGGAAGTGGGTCTGGCCCACGAAAGCTCATCACCTAATAAACCATCTTGTTAGTCTTTAAAGTGCTACATTGTCCTGCATTTTGCTTCAACTACCCCAGACTAACACGGCTACATTTCTATCACTGTCTCCAACCCTTGCTCTCCTGGAGACGGCTGAGTTCCACAGGGGAAGGTGCTCTGACAGACTCGCTCCATATGGCAAGGTCTATGAATGTGTCCTTGTGGCAGAGTTAACTATGGCTCTCTCTCAGCTGTTGGTTCCAGCCTGACTCCAGTCCACACCCAAAACCCTGTCACTCCAGTGTGACGGGGCTTTCACACAGGGCTAGCCAGCCTGCCCACGGCTACAGACGAGGCACTGCTTTCTCGTAGGCTGGTAACCCATCCACTATACAGCAAGGACTTGAGCTAAACCATTTGCATGCTGGCAACCCTCACGTGCTGTCCCACAATTCCCCTGGGTGCCCAGAAACACAAGTTCTCCCACAGTTCACTGGGAAAGAATCAGAGCGGCTCAGTGCACTGTGGCACAAAGGACCCTGGGGCCTGCTTTGGAAATCCTGATGTCTGCAGCGTCTCGGCTGACTGATGCCCATTTCAGTCCCAGCAGCGCTAGGCGTCACCCTGGCCTAGGCTAGCCCTAGGGCTCAGACCCTGGTGCCAACCCCCGACTTAACTTCACCCCTAAAAGAGCTGCTGGAATTCGTCCCTCCTGCCAGGGTCACTGCATTTACCTTCTCTGCCCGATTCATCTCCCTCACCCTGAGCCACATACATGCAGTGAGTGCCAGGCCTGGATTTCAGCGAGAAAGCCCCATAGTCATCCAACAGGTCAACCATCACCTGGAGAAAGGCAAACACAAAGCATGGCAACATGGACTACGAAAGGGGGCAGCAAGCGGAGTCATCCCATGTCGCCTTGTAAGAATGTGATCAAACAGCACAGACTATATTCCTCTGAACCGAACAGACTGGAATTAGAATCCCACCAGATACAAAAGAAGGCAATCAAATAGAACAGAATGTTATTGGAAAGTATTCAAAGGTAACTTAAGGTAGATACGCTTAAGGGCAGAGATAGGGTCCAGAATGACTTAGACAAATTGGAGGATTGGGCCACAAGAAATCTGATGAGGTTCAACAAGGACAAGTGCAGAGTCCTGCCCTCGGGACGGAAGAATCCCAAGCATAGTTACAGGCTGGGGACCAACCAGTTAAGTTGTAGTTCTGCAGAAAAGGACCTGGGGGTTACAGTGGATGAGAAGCTGGATATGAGTCAACTGTGTGCCCTTGTAGCCAAGAAGGCTAATGGCATATTAGGTTGCATTAAGAGGAGCATTGCCAGTAGATCCAGAGATGTCATTATTCCCCTTTATTCAGCTTTGGTGAGGCTGCATCTGGAGTATTGTGTCCAGTTCTGGGCCCCCCACTACAAAAAGGATGTGGACGCATTGGAGAGGGTCCAGCGGAGGGCGACCAAAATGATTAGGGGGCTGGAGCATATGGCTTATGAGGAAAGGCTGAGGGACTTGGGTCTGTTTAGTCTGCAGAAGCAAAGAGTGAGGGGGGATTTGAGAGCAGCCTTCAACTTCCTGAAGGGAGGTTCCAAAGAGGATGGAGAGAGGCTGTTCTCAGTGGTGACAGATGGTAGAACAAGGAGCAATGGTCTCAAGTTGTGGTGGGAGAGGTCCAGGTTGGATATTAGGAAAAACTATTTCACTAGGAGGGTGGTGAAGCACTGGAATGGGTTCCCTAGGGAAGTAGTGGAGTCTCCATCCCTAGAGGTGTTTAAGTCTCGGCTTGACAAAGCCCTGGCCGGATTGATTTAGTTGGAATTGGTCCTGCCTAGAGCAGGGGGCTGGACTTGATGACCTTCTGAGGTCTCTTCCAGTTCTATGATTCTATGAACTCTAGAATTCATTTTAACACTTCCTAATTGCAATCAAGTAGAATAGCCTGCAACTATAGCGTAATGGCATGCAACAAAGAGAACAGACTGTAACTAGACAGGATTTAAATGTAATTACATAGGACATACTTCAGTTAGAATATACAGGCAGTCCCCGACTTACGCGGATCTGACTTATGTCGGATCCGTACTTACGAACGGGGCTTTCTCGCTCCGGAGGTCGAGGTAGCGGATTGCTACCTGCGAGCTCCGGGGCGAGATAGCCCCGTTCGTAAGCTGCTTCGGTGCCCCTGGTCTGCTGGAGACCGTCTCCAGCAGACCAGGGGCACCGGGCGGGTTCCTGCACTTCTGAGGCTTTGCCAGAGCAAAGCCTCAGAAGCGCGGGAACCCCCGCTGCTGCCGCATGAGACCCGGTGCCTGTGGTCTGCTGGGGACGGTCCCCAGCAGACCAGAGGCACCTG